AAGCTAATAAATAGCAACTGAATGCAGCAGATGCATGCAAAAGTGCAAGTGTGCCTTGTACAGTACGCTATGCACTTTAATGCAGATGTCTTATATAATATATGTCGAAATAATTGCAATCAATTAGATTACATAACATATACATATACATATCGAATGATCGTCGCACTATATTACAAAATGCCAACTATATCACCCTTTAGTAGGTATTAACGGTTTCTTCGAAACAGTTTTGCATGATTTGCTTAAGACTTGATATGTGCGTATCACGTGAATTGAATTTTATCTGCGCCTCACTGCTGAAACAAAATGAAATCGAACGATGACGTGTTGAAGAGATTGCGATAAGGGGCGTAAATATTATCGCAAAACGGTTATCGTCCTACATAGATCAAATTGCACAGCGACACAAACGGAACGGAATTGCGCCTCATGCATGGACTGCTTGAACTGCATCAATTTAAGACTTAATTCCAAATCTCAATCATTACCCGCACAAACACACACCCCGTTTGTGTGACAGATCTTTGCAGGTCTTTTCGAACGCGCGTAAAGGCGACATGAAAAGAAGCCTATGAGAAATAAAATTCAGTTCAGTTCTTCGCTAAGAAAGGCCAGAAATTCTACGATCATTACCTAAAAATGACAAACATTTCTCGATGAAAATAATTTGCATGACGACAGCCGAAAACATTGTCAACAATTGGATTGGAAAATTTAGCGGGAAAACGCTGAGCTAATGAATTGAAAAAGAAAAAAAAAAAAACAAATCGCAATGAATTGAGGTAAAGATAACGTGCTTATAAAAGAGTATAATAATGATAGAATATTTTTGCGGAACTCAAAGGCAAAGGAAATTGAGTCGTGAGACTCGAGAATCATCAGAGATGAATTGCAAAATTCATTCCGAACAAAAACATTGTAAATAATAATAAATTTCCTGTAAATAATTTGTAAATAGATCTCCAAAGAAATGTAAATAAAATCCATATCATCCTAGAACTCATAATTTCGTGATACGAACTTAATGTCGAAACGAGTTGAATACATAAACAATGTAAAATGACGAAAAACAGTTCACATAACAATATGTTTAAGTGTTGGTGAAAAATAATCCAAGAAATATTTTCCCCTTACTATTATTATTATAAATAAATTTAGCCAGAGAATAAGTTCGGAGAATAAGTTCTAAGACTAAAGTCTTGAAAGCACTAGCATCTAAGGCTTTCGGCTTTCGGCTTTCGGCTTACGGCTTTTATTAAAAACTCTACCGCCCTTGAGATTTGAACTCACGACCATTGAGTTGCTAGTCGAGACTCTTGCCTACTCGGCCGCTCAGGCGAAATTCCCCGTACTTTTAATTACTTTCGGATTATTCTGCATACGAAAGGATCTTCTTGTTGAGTTTATTCGGCTATTTTGCTGGTTACGTTGTGCAGCAGAAATCAATGACGCGTTTAGTAAACCACCTCAACTCTCTTTCTTTAAACGATTGACTTGTATTAGGAATGTCCGCAATTACATCTTAAAACGAATTAAAATAAAAGTTTTACTTAAATGGAGAATGAAGAATGGAGAAATTCTTTCGGGCCTTGCCAATCGAAGATGTGTAAGAAGATGTTTTGGACGAAAACACAAGTTAATTCGTTAAATTGTAATTGTGATTGAAAAGTTGACGTAAACGTAGGAAATTAATGTCAGAGATTCTCTTTGAGCTTTACTGTACATCCTCTTTAATTAAAACAAAAAATAAAATAAATAAAAAGGAAATAGAAGTGAAAATAACTAAATTTTTTTTTTTTTTTTTTTTTTATTATATATATATATATATATATATATATATATATTGTCTTGTATTTAGGTTGTGTGATTATTCATTCGATTTCACATATTCATCATCATTGTTCGTTATAATACGCGATGCAGAAAACAAAACAGTAACATTCTCACGAACAGAAATTAACATACACACACAGCACACAGCATACACCCATATGTATAAATGTATAACGTATGAAAGACCATCGTAAACCATAATTTCGAGTCATTGTGTGCCTGAATTGTTAAGCTGCACAAGTGTTGTTGGAAGTAATTAGCGTACGAACGGATTAAAATGATTTCAGCTCAGGTTGAATTGTTATTCCCATCCATCGCAACTTGCCATCTGTTAATTTTAAAGTGTTTTTATTAAAATTTCACAATATTTTTTTCTCTGAGATTTCTGTTTTCCTCTTTCCTCTTTCCTCTCTCTCTCACTCTTTCACTGTCTCACACTTTCTGCATATGTGCATGTTTGTTTGTTTGTTTGTTTGTTTGTTTATTTGTTTATTTATTTGCTTTTATATATGTATCTATATATCTATCTTGATCTTCTTAATTCGGCCTCTGATCATGTTTAGATAAATTAGTTGACATTATGCAAAATGTCATTCAACTCGTTTTTGTTATTGAATTGTTTGCTTAAACTTATTTCTTTTCTTCTCTTCTCTTTCCTTTTTCTTTTTCTGTTTTTTTTTTTTTTTTTTTTTTTTGTTTGTGTTTTTTGCCACTCATCGTTCAACTTGTCCTTAACAATTGTTTCAAAATTTTTAATAACTCGTTTTGCTTTTCAATTTAATTTTTATTTATTTAAATTAATATCTTTCTTTTTTGTTTTTTTTTTCTTTAATTTCTTATTGAATATTCAATAGCTACTTATAGGCGCGTACAAGGGTCCATATCTACGATGGTGTTAAATAAATGTTAATAATTTGATGTCTGAAACAATTCAAGTAAACAATTCAATGCCATTACTTTTCTTTTTTCATTATACTCTCTAGTGTATGCGTGCATGTGTGTGCGTGTTCCAATGAAAATCTATCAAAAATAATAACATTTAATAATATACATATAAAGCATATAAATTTGATCGATTCATGTATATATATATATATATGTATGTATATATATAGTGTATAGTAGTATTGTATTGGGTGCGCCTAGTTTGAATGAATGAGATTTCTATATATATATATATATATAGTGCGATTGTATGAATAAGTGATTCTTTTCGACCAAACATTGCTTTAATATGCAATTAATTGAGATTAAATGTTTAATTAAATCATTTGAAACGAAACAATACTTTATTACAACGTAATATAATAGTGATCGGTACTTCGCTCATTATTATTAGTTAAAAAAAAAACTGGTAAACTGATGAGCTATGTATATTCCGGGTTAATTCATCTCACGTTCGTATTATAAATCATTTAATTTAATTGAAATGCTTACAAATAAATATAAATATTGTAAACTTTTAAACATATATACAAAACTCAAAGCGCTTTTGAAGTAAATGGACGCGTTTTTATTTTTATTTTATTTTTTTTTTTTTTTTTTTTTTTTTGGTGTAAACCTTGTAAACCTTGTAAAATATATTGTGAGATCGTTGCGCGCCATTCCCTAAGGCTGGGGCAGCTCAGCCGGTAAAGGGAAGGAAACACAAGACATTTATATTCACAAAGACTCTTCGTTTATTCCATAATTATTTCTGCACTTTATCTTATAATTAACACGCGACTCACTGAGGGTCTATTCTCGATTCTAAAAAAACCCCTCACTCAAATAAAACTAATTATGGGAAAACCCAAAGTCTCTGGTGAAGGGATGGGAGTGCTAGGTTAAGATAGGATAGGAATAGCATAAGAATAGAATAGGGTTGGATAGGCTAGGTGAGTCGGCCATAAAGTTTCAGATATCCGGGCATCGCTGACGGGAATTATGTTTACTTTGTTGTAATCAAATTGCCATCATTTTCCGATATGATCCATAGGCCAAGAGTAAGAGCACATAAGCTAAGGGAGACAACCAAACGAATCAAACTAAGGAAACCTAGAATCTTAAGCTGCGGTATGGGGTCGCTGATCCTTATTTTTGCGTAAACTTTCATTTTAAGTGATTATAGTGAATGTGTGCGTCTCACCTTCGCTGATTGATATGCGACTATGATAATCTCAGACTATATATCAAATAGCGAATTTAAAAAAATTTTTTTTTATATTCTTACATTTGCAAATGTGCGCCGACGCAAATCCGGCAAAAATACTTTAAACAAATGAAGACATTATGCGCGAGCAAGTTCGACGATTAAACGCCATACACCGCTCGCCAAAAATTATCGCTTTTTGCCACACAAAGGCCTACTCATCTCGTGGATAACCCCATAAGTAAGAGATTTCGAAAATAGACGTGAACAGACGTGGTCCAAGCTTAGCATATTTATAATACTGTTCAGGTTTAAGATCTTTTTTATTTATCGTAAGGTACGAAAAATTAGTCTTTATTGCCATATAAATGTTTACATTTCGTGAGAACTATGGTAAGGATTATGAAAAGTGAACCAATCTGACATGAGCTCAGTGTAATAATAAATTGATAGTTCAAACCGTTGTTATGCCTCGATTTTCACTATTAAATATCAAAACAACATAAAATGATTACCGTTCGAAGGAACGTCGCAATCATTTGGTATCGCAAAGCGCAATTACTTTGCGATTTTCCTCGAGAGAGATCATAAATTGATATCTGCGTTATATAGTGATCGATGGGAAAAGTTGTTCGATCGAATCTACTTTGAATAACGTTCGTCGCTATGTTAAAACACGTCAATGTATACAAATTTTGTTAAATTGTCTAAAAAGTTGCGAACTCCAGGTTAAACAAAAGTGAACATGAACAGTGATCGGACAGACATAGGATACGCGGATGTCCAGAAAAAGCTTAAAGGAATTCGAAAAATAATTCCAAATCGACATATATGATGAAGGATAAATCAGTTCCTCTGGGTGTTATACATACATTTGCACAAATATATAAAAATGTATTGTACCCCAAGTAGTGTAGAATAAAGAACGATGCAAAAGAATAGGGACAAATTTTGATATAATCTCTCTCTTCTTCTTATTTTATTATTAATAATTTGTAAAGATTTCTGATTATGAACTTTTTCTTTATTGCAGGATTTGCACCATTAAAAAGCTATCCAGGCAACGGAGCGTGTTTGCCAGGTATGTTTAACGTAAGCAATACCCAAAAAAAAAAAAAAAAAAAAAAATTTCAGCAGAAATGAAAGATAATTTTCTTATAGTGTATAACATACAAATATAAATCAAATATATTTACAAATAATTTTGATACATATGTGTGTATATATATATGTACATATATATATATATCTCAGCGATCCCAAGAGTTGTGATTCGGTGGCTCAACTGGCCTTCCAGAATGCGGTGCATCTTCGACAGCGAAATTTGTCAGAACAAAGATTTGCAAACCACGTCTTAGTGCTGACGTTCTGTTCAGACGTCACATTTAATATTTTTTGTGCTCGTACAGTGAATATGTACGATTTCCCGAAAATGTGCTGCTTTCAATTTTCCAACAAAAACCGTTGCAGAGAATTAAAGAACAGCACAAACATGTAAATTTTTCCATAAGCCATCGCTTAAATGTCAAGTTGACCGTAAAAAAATGCAATTAAATCGTGTTTTGTGAAAAAGTGAAATCAATTTTCGAACAATTAAATAATACTTCGGGCATTTGGTTCTTTTTAAAAGCAAGCTACAGAGACTCTATACAGTAGAGAGTTGGTCAGCGTGAAACGTCCGTCTGTGCATCGATGTGACTTGGCGTAAACTAGACGCAACACCTTTTCTCTAAACAAAAATTTCTCGGTTTATTGTCATTCCGCATAAATAGGCTTCAACCCACTGACCACAGTGGGTTTATTGAGTCATACACAATAAACAATCTGAACTCTGGTGCTGTTTAGACCTCTAGTTTATAGGGATTGTCTAATTCGCTAGGGGGCGTGGGTTACGCTAAAAATAACCCACATGGCTTGGGTCACCGTGAGGTTAAGCCATCAAGGCAGGTACCCACGTGAAACCCACATCGCAAATCTGTCATTCCGCACAAACAAATATGTTGGACATCTCTGGTAGAACTGTTGCATTAACTTTTTCTTAATAATACCAGCGATATGGGTATCAAATAAAAATACTTGGCGAGTAGAATGCGCCAAATGAAGCGTACTAATTCTCAATTAATAATGGTGGGCGTCACAACGCGGTAGATAAATTTTATCGTATTCACTTTCTTATAATAATAAACAAATGCATGGGGCGTTTAAGATTTTTATGGTGATGGATTCTCACTTTGTCGTCTTTTGTGATTTTTCAACAAACTTTAATCATAATACCGTATGACTGCAATATAGCATATAGCGTAATTTGCAGCCCTATATGCACTCATATCTAAATAACCTACGGAAATCACAATGTCATAATCCCTGCAATGCGTAAGCAAAGAAGTGCGATTGACATAAAATAGTGAAGTATGTTACTTAACAGGTTAAAAGAAAAACATGTAAAAAAATTAAATTTGTTCGGGATCTAATCTTTTATACCCAGCACCCGTTTACCCCAAAATAAGGCAAAGGATGCAAAAGAAGAAGATTTTCATGCTCCCTAATATGGAATGGGCGCAGTTGATTTCTTCTATTTTCAAAATAAAAGTTTTTGCCGTAGAGTAATGGAGGCGTTATAGGCGTGTCCTCTGAAAAGTTTAGCTCAATTCCAAATTGTTTTGCAAATTTTTGAGCGATATCTTCATGTTCGCTGGCGGGAGACTGTTTACCACGAATGCTACAAACTTGCGCAAACAGACAGATGGACAGACAAGCAGACGGACATGTTTAGGTTTAATATAAATTTGAAACTGACCAAGAATTTGTATACTTTATAACGTTTTTGAAGCTTGTTTCTGCGCCTCGTAAAGGTATTAAAGAAAAATTACATTTTGATACACTACAACATTGGATAGGCGTGGTTAATTTTTCACATTTTTGTGTACAGATGCCACAGCATCGGCCATAGAATATACATTCAAATTTTTGTCCATTTATTTGCTATCGTTTATAAGCAATGAGGAAGAAATCAATATCTCATTCCCTTCCAAAAATAGAGGTGTTCTCAGGTGTTCTCATGGTGCTGTGGGCGTGCCCTTGAACCGATTTGGCCCATTCTCAATACCAATCTGCTTGCAAGAACTTTTAATATGCTTGCCACATGTAAAGTCGATAGCTTCATTTTTGCGATTAGAAGTATGTTTACAACAAGCATTACACAGACGGATAGACGACCAGACGGACAAACGGATATGCTTGGATCGATTTAGAATTTGATGCTGATCAAGAATATATACACTTTGTGAGGTCTCTAATGCTTCCTTCTGAGCGTTGCAAACTTCTTGACAAAAGGAATATACCCCACATACATCTTGGCCGGTTGCAAATTCGAAATGCACGTAAGCATGTTCGTCCAGTCATCTGAATGAAGCATGAAACTGGCCCGAATTAAACGAAGGACATGTCTACCGTACTACGTAAAGTAGGGACATCTCTGTTTTTCAAAAGAAATAAAATATTAGTTTTATGTCCATTACCCATACACCATAGCTGATTAGTCTACAAAAATTTTGAACCTACGTTCTATGGGCAATGCTGTAGTACGTCTGCAAAAATGGAAAAAAATTTACCACGCCTACTCAATGTTATAGTAGTAGTTATAACATAACTTTGCTTTTGAAAGCCTTTGTAACGCACGACAATAACAAACAAGTTCAAAGAACCCCATAAATTATATAAATTCTTGGCCAATTTCAAATTCGGAATGGACGTAAAAGTGTCCGTCCCTTCTTCTGTTCATCTGTTCGTTTGCGCAACTGCGTAGTATTTGTAGGGAACATTCTCCCATTCGAAAAAATGAAGAATTTGAAAATTATCCAATTTTTTTAAAGAACACGCCTACAACACCCACAGGTTTTTTATAAGAAAAACTGTGAACCTATACCATATAAATTTCGGCACTTATTCTGAAAATAGAGAAAATCACGCATGTCCGCCCGATAGTATAGAATATGAAAATGTAGTTTTTTACCCATTTTTAAGATCACGATAATAGGTATAAGAGATTCGATCACAACCGAACACACTTTTCTTACTTCTTATATTATTGAAATGAGAAGAGAGATAGTAAGAATGATGTAGAGAATGATTTACAAAAAATGATTCTGTACAGACGTCTTATTATTAACTTCCTCTCTCTCTCTCTCTCTCTCTCTCTCTCTCTCCCCCTCTCTCTCTCTCTCTATCTATCTCTCTTTCTGCATTTCTGCAGAAATATTCAATTATATTTTCTTTCTTTTTTATACCCATCGCCGAAGGATGAGAGGTATATTCATTTTGTCAAAACGTTTGCAACGCGCAGGAAGAGAGCTCGGAGTCCCCCTAAACTATATATATATTGTTGATAAGGTTTAAATTCTGAATCGATTTAAGAATAGCCGTCTGTCCGTCTTGCTAATGTCTGCTGTAAACATTCAAATGAAACTATCGACTTCAAATTTGGCAGAACTATTAAACGTTCTCGCACGCAGGTTGATATTGAAAATGGACTAAATTGATCGAAGGACACGCCTAAAGTACCATGTAAGCTGAGAACATCTCTGTTTTTCAAAAGTATCTTCATAACGAGCCGAAGCAAGTTTCACAAACCCCACGAGGTACATAAGCTCTTGGCCAATTTCAAAATTGGAAATGCATCGAAAAAGGTCCGTCTGTTTGCCTGTCTATCCGTCCGTCTGCCCAAATGTATCATATCTATGATGAAAATTCTCCCTTTAGCGAAAATGGACTAATTGAAATTTTTAAAAGGACACGCCTACAACGCCCACATGCCTATGCGACAAAGACTTTTATTTTGAAAATATGAAAAAGCAATCGAGCCCACTCTATATTATGGAGTGTGGGTTAATATGTAGTTTTTTTGCTTTTTTTGCCTTCTTTCGGATGACGGCGATGGGTATAAAAGATTCGATTACGATCGAATATAATTTTTTTAATTGTTCTTTCATCAAGTCGAGTAAAAGAGTGTAAAAGTTACCGTCTTTTTAATATCCCTACCATTGAGAAGGGGTTGAGATATTCCCTTTATTTATGTCCTGTTTTGTGTTAGCATTCGCTTTTCATCATTTGTCGGTTAATAAAAAATACAAAAAAAAAAAAAATAAGCAACCATGGAATGAGTAAAAATCGAGATCGAGAACATTCACAATTGCGTTTAGTGAGTGTTAATGACGCGATTTATCCAAAAAGAAGCGCAGCTAAAAACAAAAGCATACAACAACAACAACAACAACAACAATCTTGTACCCAAAAAAATAAATCTGTTAAATAAAATCTGTTTAAAAGCAGGCAAAAAGTATGTTAAAAAAATTACGCTTTAAAAAATTATATTCGGCAGTGGTCGAATCTTTTGTACTTATCACGTTTATCGTTAACTAAATTAAAAGCAAAAAAAAAAAAAAAAATGAAAAATAAAAGACTTCGTTGCACAAGAATGTTGCGTGGACGAGTGGATATACATGGACATTTTTTTGTTTATGTATGTTATGGTGTATGTGTATGACTGAGGAGGAAAAATCCATTTTTCTGTTTTATTTGTTTTTTTTTGCTATGGAAAACAGAGATATTCTCGGTTTATGCTGCACTGTAGGTGGGTGTTTTGTTCGATTTGGCACATATTCAATACCAAGAACTTGCTATGCTTTTGACAAACTTGAAGCCTATATCTAAATTTTTGCGACCGAGAGTATGCTTAATTCATGCATGTCCCACGGCAGAAAGATGGACATTTGCTATAGGTGCTGTCAACGTTTTGCGCAAATAAATATACAATCTTCGGTCCTTGTGTGATGGTCCCTAAAAGAATATTTTTGACTGAGTCATGTTAACGGGTAGAGACAATTTTTAAGCATAAGTTTAACTCTTTCGTTATTTACGAGTATTGAAAAGTGTTAAAGAAACTGCAATTGTCATGAAATTCCAATCTCTCACCCCTGAAAGGTCATAAATCTAGAAAATTGCTAATAAAATTCAATTTAACACACACATGCATTTAAACATTACATACGTACATATAATTTAACATATGCCATAGGCAACCTG